TGTTGTTGTTGTTGTTGTTGTTGTTGTTGTTGTTGTTGTTGTTGTTGTTGTTGTTGTTGTTGTTGTTGTTGTTGTTGTTGTTGTTGTTGTTGTTGTTGTTGTTGTTGTTGTTGTTGTTGTTGTTGTTGTTGTTGTTGTTGTTGTTGTTGTTGTTGTTGTTGTTGTTGTTGTTGTTGTTGTTGTTGTTGTTGTTGTTGTTGTTGTTGTTGTTGTTGTTGTTGTTGTTGTTGTTGTTGTTGTTGTTGTTGTTGTTGTTGCAAATCTTTATTCTCACGATAGCCAGTGGCCAATAAGAGATAATAGTGTAAGAAAGGAGAAAGAGTGAGGAAGAATTGGGTGGGCAGGGTCTAGAGGTTAATGACTACTTAAGTGTACGGGCAGGGGTGGTCGCCACACGAGCATACAGAGTTGCGTACTTAAGTGTACGGGCAGGGGTGGTCGCTACACGAGCATACAGAGTTGTGCAACAGCAGGGATATCTCGGATTTGAAGGGAGTACGAGAAGGGATTTCGCGAAGCTGGGTGGGCAGGCAATTAAAGTAATGAAGGGCCTTGTACAGGGGAGAATGGAGACAGCGGTCAGTCCGCGGAGTTGGCAAGTGCCAAGTACGAGAGCGACGTAAATTATACGAAGGTTGCACGTTGCTAGCAGTATGCAGCGAGAGTATATGTGATGGGGCATAATTGTGGCGCAGAGAATGCGCGAAGAGTATATGTTTAACTTTAAAGCGTTAAAATAATGTTGGCCATTTGATGCGATGCAAAAGGTGGGAGTGTTCTAAGTGTGTGTAAAGGGGAAGGTGGAGACATATTCTGGCGGCTTTCCGCTGGAGTCGTTCTAGCCTGTCAAGGGAAGTGTGGGACAACGGTGTGAGAGCAGTGCTCTCATATGAGAATATAGGTAGTATGTATGTCTGATAGATGTGAGATAAAGAATCACTGGTGAGTGTAGACCTTAGTCTAAAAAGAATATTGAAAGACTTGAGTGATTTTTTGACTATGTATTCAACATGCTCCGTCCAACGGAGGTCATGCTGAAAGATTATTCCGAGGTGTTTGTTTTTTTTGTGCTACGGTAAGCGGACTATTCCTGAGGGTGATCTGGGGTAGCTGTTCAGGGGGGCGGTTATTGTGGTAGAACGGGAGGACGACTGTTTTCTTTGTGTTAACCAGCAGGTGCCATCTTTGAAGCCAGTCTCCAGCTGCTGTGACACTCTGTTGTAGGTTTCGGGTGCAGTCTTGAAGAGTTCTCGCTATGGAAATCAGAGCGGTGTCATCTGCAAACTGGCTACAGGTGGTGCTGGGATTCTCACATGCATGTGGAAGGTCTATGGTGTAGACGAGGAATAGAAGCGGCCCAAGAACAGATCCCTGAGGGACGCCGGCAGGGATTTAGAGGAAATGTTATTGTTGTTGTTGTTGTTGTTGTTGTTGTTGTTGTTGTTGTTGTTGTTGTTGTTGTTGTTGTTGTTGTTGTTGTTGTTGTTGTTGTTGTTGTTGTTGTTGTTGTTGTTGTTGTTGTTGTTGTTGTTGTTGTTGTTGTTGTTGTTGTTGTTGTTGTTGTTGTTGTAGTTGTTGTTGTTGTTGTTGTTGTTGTTGTTGTTGTAGTTGTTGTTGTTGTTGTTGTTTCAAATCTTTATCCTTACGATAGCCAGTGGCCAATAAGATATAATAGTTTAAGAAAGGAGAAAGATTGAGGAAGAATTTGGTGGGCAGGGCGTGAGTGTTAATGACTACTTAAGTGCACGGGCAGGGGTGGTCGCCACACGAGCATACATACAGGGTTGTGTACTTTTGAATTCTTTATTCTCACGATGGCACCATCGCCAATAAGAGATAAATTGATGAGAAGGTGAGATTGTGGGTTAAACAGTTGGAAAGTGATTTACATCACTTTGAACTTTACAAGTATGGGAGAGGGTGAGCGCTGCAGGAGCAGATTGAGTTAATCAGCAGTGAGCAGATATCTTGTTTGAAAGCAGGTCGGGAGGAGATGTCACGAATGCTAGCAGGGAGGGCATTGTAGTATTCTAGGGACTTGTACAGTGGGGAGTCTTTACAGCGATCGGTTCTGGAGGGTGGGAGGTGCCAAGTGCGTGCGTGTCGAAGGCTGTACTGGGCCGTAACTTGAGCGGGGGTGTTGAGCAAGCGTATGGTTTGTGGGGCATATTGGTATTTTATGGAGCGAGCAAGAAGGGTGAGCTTCACTTTGCGGCGAGAGAACATTGTCGGCCATTTGAGCCGATGAAGCAGTGTTGAATGATCGAGAGGAGTGTAAAGGGGGAGACGGAGGCAGATTCTGGCCGCCTTGCGCTGGATTCGCTCAAGACGGTCAAGAGCTGCGATTGAGAGCGGGGTGACAGCAATGCATGCATATTCAATTATAGGCAGGATATACGTTTTGTAAATGAGAGAGAGTGATTTAGTGTGTAGAGTTGATTTGAGCCTAAAGAGAATATTAAAAGATTTTACGGCTTTCTTCAGCACAAAGTCAAGGTGGGCTGACCATCTTAGGTCGTGCTGAAAGATGATGCCGAGGTGACGATGTTGTGTTACTGTTTCTAATAGGGTTTGGCCAAGTTTTATTTCGGGTAGTCGTGGTGGGGGTCGGTTAGCATGGTAGAACGGGAGGATGACGGTTTTCGTTTTATTGACTAGCAGGTGCCAGTGCTCTAGCCATTCTGCTGCGGCATCGACGCTTCTTTGTAGCGCAGCCTCACACTCAATGTAGCTGCCTGCAATGGCAATCAGTGCGGTGTCGTCCGCGAACTGGCTACACGAGGTTGTAGCATTTTCACAGGCAGTGGGCAGGTCAATGGTGTACGCCAGGCACAGAAGTGGTCCCAGGACCGAGCCCTGGGGCACTCCTGCTGGTATTGGTATGAAGGCGGATGTTGTGCCTTCAACCTGCACCCGCTGTCTGCGTCCTGTCAAGTAGGCTTCGAGCCAATTGTGAGCCTTGCCGTCGACACCATAGTGGCTCAGCTTTTTCAGCAAGCCTTGATGCCATACACGATCAAAGGCTTTACTGAGATCGAAGAAACACGTTACAACGTACTTGTTGTTGTTGTTGTTGTTGTTTTTGTTGTTGTCGTCGTCATCGTCGTCGTCGTCGTCGTCCGCCGCCGCCGCCGTTGTTGTTGTTGTTGTTGTTGTTGTTGTTGTTGTTGTTGTTGTTGTTGTTGTTGTTGTTGTTGTTGTTGTTGTTGTTGTTGTTGTTGTTGTTGTTGTTTTTGTTGTTGTCGTCATCGTCGTCGTCGTCGTCCGCCGCCGCCGCCGCCGTTGTTGTTGTTGTTGTTGTTGTTGTTGTTGTTGTTGTTGTTGTTGTTGTTGTTGTTGTTGTTGTTGTTGTTGTTGTTGTTTTATTCTAATTCGCAGAAGCAAACAGGCAGCAAGCCTAATTACATGAGAGCAGTATGCAGTGTACAGTATGCAGTGTATAGTATGCAGTGTATAGTATGCAGTGTATAGTATGCAGTGTATAGTATGCAGTGTATAGTATGCAGTGTATAGTATGCAGTGTATAGTATGCAGTGTATAGTATGCAGTGTATAGTATGCAGTGTATAGTATGCAGTGTATAGTATGCAGTGTATAGTATGCAGCGTGCAGTATGCAGTGTACAGTATGCAGTGTATAGTATGCTGTTGTGATCCCTCTGGTTCTCTAAAGTGCCAGGAACGAACGACCCCACACGGCACGAGGACAACTATTTATTCTCAACAGTATATTTCACTTCCATCGACTAATAACAATGAACAATGAGTGACTGAATGAACAACTGAACAACTAACACTAAAACCACCAGGCAGTTATAGCGTGAAAATGACAGCTTATATGAGAAAAGCATACACATACAACATACAACTACAGCGCACACAGCAAACCGTACATAGCGCATGTAGCGTATACTACGTCGTAATCATCAGGGGTACGGCGGAGTCGGGATACAACTGCATTGGAAAGAACACAATGTCACAAGCGGGAAGGCCTTTCACTCTCGAGAACTTGTGGTTTCACAACATTCTCCCCACCAAAGGGCTTCTCACCGCCGTACAACAACTCATAAGTAAAAAAACGATCGGGGCTCTGACTACACGCCCAGAACGAGTCATCCGCTGCTGTGGGGGTGGCCACGGTGGAATATTACCAGTGCTCACCATTTCTGCCAACTGAGCAATGGTCTGCAGACTCGCGCACTTCAGATCAAGCTCTAACGTTGGCTTCACCAGAGCACATACCGGAATGACTGCGGAGCTACCCAGGATCGTGATGGCGAACTTGTCCATCCGCTGTTGGCTTGATTCCGCACCGAACGGCTTCACCTCAACAGTCTCAACACCAAGCTTGCCGATCTGGGCTGTCACACACAACACAGTAACTGGGTCACTGCCTCGTGGGGCGGACGCTGGACCAGATAACCTACATTCGATCTCCGCGGTCCACACAGTCTCGCCCCTTACTTCTTCCGTGCTAACCAGCATCGCCCTTCTCATTTTCTCGGCTTCTACGTCTTGCGCTTCTAAGTCTCGCGCCTCTAAGTCTTGCGCCTCTAACTCTTGCGCCTCTAACTCTTGCGCCTCTACGTCTTGCGCCTCTACATCTTGCGCCTCTACGTCTTGCGCCTCTACGTCTTGTGCCTCTACGTCTTGCGCCTCTACGTGTTGCGCCTCTACGTCTTGCGCCTCTACGTGTTGCGCCTCTACGTCTTGCGCCTCTACGTCTTGCTCGTATACGTCTTGCGCGTCTACGTCTTGCGCTTCTACGTCGTTCGGCCGAGACTCCAGCTGCTTCTGAGCGTTGTGTACTGTAGCCCCCCCCCCCCGCTAGTGTCGCGCAAAATCCTGATGATGGGTGCTTAGGGAATCGAACAAATTTTCAAAGAGTGGGGGGGGAGGGGAGGAGTTTGGAGGGCGATTGATTTTAGAAACCATACTCAGAGTGCCAAGTAGTCACAATTTCACACCACTGTGCTAAGAATTCTTTTTTTTACCCGAACAGATATTAATGAATGTAATCTGAAGACCCACAACTGCAGTAGCCAGTCAGCAACATGTGCTAATAACTATGGGTCCTATGTATGCGAGTGCCGTCCAGGGTTTAAAACCTGGAATGGCACTGACTGTCAAGGTATTTCCCAGCGCTCATGATGTTATCTTATATCAGGTTTATGATCATTTTGAGGCTGTGCTGCAATGTTTCAATCTACTAAGCTGACCAAACATCTTACCCTGACGCAACTCCCTTCGGTCCCAACGTCCTCTCCTGACGCAACATCCCGCCCTGACACAACATCCCACCCTGGTCTGTTGACATGCTATTCAATACGCACGTGTGTTCGTAGATCATTGAAATTGTCACAGTTGGGGTTAAGTATTCCTTGAGTACATTGGGTACATCCTTGTGGTCATATTTCACATCGATTCAATCCATTTAGAGATGTACTGTAAAGTGGCACGACGGCGCTGCCTCTTTAACCTATGTCTGAGTCAGAGGCAGCGAAACCAGGGATAGGGGATATTTGCCTGCAATTATACTTAGCGTTCATAGTTTGACAGCAGCATGAAAAAAGGTGGAGGACACCGTGTTCGGAAACAGCGACCTTTCTACAACCATCCACACGGTTCAGTTTAACACAGGCCCGTAAAAAAAGGAAATTATCGTGTCCGTTTTCGAAGGGAACTCACGACAGCTGCTAATGCCCTTTAAACCCTAGAGGCGGATGAGGAGATACGTCTCACAACCACTGGCAAAAGTGCCGAGAAACCCCATTAGTTGCATCCACGTACCCCTTGTGACTGGCCACAAGTTCCCAGTTGACTGTGGGTAGCAGCACAACTGGAAAAAAACGCTCCCAGGCAGGACTTGAACCAGGTGCCTCTCGTATGTCAATCACGGACTTTGACCCACCGCATGGGCTTATATGTAACACTATTGGTGAAACACCCCCGGAGCTGAATATACTAATAAGCATAGTGATAACACCGTTGTTTAGGGCACAGACAAACCTTTGTTGCACTTTCTGTGCGTGCCCTGACAGACGGATGGAAAACAGCGCCGCTTTCAACGATCCTGGTTGGAGGAGTTTTTCACCGGTGTGCAGTGTTGGCTTCTGCTTCCCCTTTGTGATGTTTGCTCCAGACGATTCGAAGCTTGGGCAGCTTTACCGAAGTCCTTTCGAGAATTTAACCCGGTTCAAGACTGCATGCAATCATCACGCTGAACAGAAAATCCATAATATATAAAACGCCTTGGAAATGTTCAGTCATTTTAATCAAAATCGCCCAGCAGCTTGCGGATGGTAATTCCACCCAGTCTGAGGAGAATATGCAGAGATACACGTGTAGCGTTGGCACGCTGGTGACTTCAAAGCGTATAGCGTTTAGTGTTAAGAGTATAGCATATCCCCGTACTGTATCCCCATACGTTAGCGTATCCCCGTACATTAGCGTACAGAGTCTGCCTTTGTATCAAAGCTGCTGGTCTCGATTCTTTTATAGCCAGTTAGTTAATTTAGTTGCCAGTCAGTTAGTTCCATTGCCAAGTAATTTCATTGCCAGTTATTGTTACATTTCAATTGCCAGTTACAGTGTGTTCACTGAGACCCTTGTATTTTTGCCTCCGAGAGACTGCAGCCCGCTACAAATTGGTTGCAGCGGTGGGATTCGAACCCACGCCTCCGGAGAGACTGCGGCCCGTTACATTGCTGGCAGCGGTGTAGTTTTAAATAAAACAACGTGATTCGACCCCAGACCCCAATGGCTCAACCCGCTGCAGCTTCGTGCGACAAATCAAGATGAGAATCATGTTTCTTGCCTTCCTGGGCCTGGCCCTGCTTATTAGCGTGCAGCACAGTCAGGGTGCTAGCGTGGATCACCCTTCTCTCCGCACGGCACACACTGGAGACTTCGATGGCGATTCCAAGCGACCCGCTACCTACATGTATACTACCGGTGGTGATGGCGAAGCTGATGAGGACGACAACAGGCAGGCTGCTGCCCAAGACAAGGAGGGTATTCCCCAAGACCAGCAGCGTTTGATTTTCGCCGGCAGGCAGTCGGAAGCAGGAGTCCACTCTTCATTTGGTACTTCACCTCCGTAGTGGGATGCAGATTTTCATCAACACTCTTCCTGGCTAGACCATCACTCTTTACGATGCTATCGACAATGTGAAGACCACGATTCAAGACGAGGAGGGAGGTCATTTGTCTGACGCAGAGCTAGCCGCTCTGAGTGACCGGCTCAACCAAGATGAAGATAAAACCTGGCTTGCCGACCACCGTAGCTCCAGCCGCCGCCGTGGTTACTAACGCTGATTCCAGGTATGGCATTTTCTTTCCTGTCTTCCTTCAGTCTCCCTGTTCTCTTCAGTCTTCCTTTATGCGAGTGTGTGAATCCAGTTTAGTTTGGTAGGCGTCTGATCATGGTGAGCCACGGTTTACCCAGCTAACGTGGGACAATGTGTGTGACAACGTCCCTTATAGTTATAGTGTATTCGGTTCGGTTTTTGAACTGCGCTGTTTCTGGCGGGTTGTGCCAGCGTTGTGCAGCAAGAGTGCTGTGGTTTTTCAGGTCCTATTTGGAGGACAGTTCTTTCCCCTTTTGACCCCATGAGATCGTGTGAACCTGGCGTGCTTCTACTTTATGATTTGTTTATCAGTTCATTCTTCTGTCTATTCCAAACGTTATCATTTCCGATATTATTTGACATACTCCGGTTGACGCTCTCCCAGCAATTCGCGATCTACTATAATGTTCAAGACTCCATACCTGTATTCTATTACGCAAGTCATCCATTCTGCCTATCTCTTATCGTCGAGTTTATTCCGACGCGACCATGCATGCCGCCAGTTTTTTTCTAAATAGCAGCCAGTTGTTGATGTCCAGCTATCACCTACATGTAGTATTCGAATCACGAGGACGTGATTGTATTTGAGAGGGGAGGTGTAGCGTTGGCACGCTGGTGACTTCAAAGCGTATAGCGTTTAGCGTTTAGAGTATAGCATATCCCAGTACTGTATCCCCATACGTTAGCGTATCCCCGTACATTAGCGTACGGAGTCTGCCTTTGTATCAAAGCTGCTGCTCACGATTCTTTTATGGCCAGTTAGTTAATTTAGTTGCCAGTCAGTTACTTCCATTGCCAAGTAATTTCATTGCCAGTTATAGTAACATTTCAATTGCCAGTTACAGTGTGTTCACTGTGACCCTTGTATTTTTGCCTCCGGGAGACTGCGGCCTGATACACGTATAGCACCACTTATTAAAGACCTTTTGTTGTGGATTGTTAATTGATCAGTGACATGGAAACCACTCCTGGAGGCGAGCTGCGTACGCCCTGCTCTCTCTGTCTATCTATCTACAGTTAATCATATTATGTTAACGACCTGCAAAGTTAAAGATTTTCTGAATTCGAAGGGAAACGGTTTGAAAAGTTAACGATTTTCTCAGACAGATGCTCGTCAAGGACATTCATTGCTGTCCATCACAGGAATTGTATACCTCGACGTCAGGAGAATAAAGAAAATGAATTTTATCCAGCGTAAAAAATTCAAATTATTCGATCTCCTGCAGCTTCGTCAAAATTCATTTGAAAGACTTCGGAGTTGTTCGAGCCGACTGCTGAGCGTCTCTGCTATCATCTAGATCTTTCGATTGTTGAATTCCGTTGAGAACTGACCGAGTTACGATCCGTTGAACACGCGCTGCATGCCACAATGTGAAATGATCGATTTCAATCGTGCGAGGCCCAAATCATACGACTTTTGCTAACGAATTTTAAAATAACGACAAATCTTTTCTCGTTAACTCGTTAGATTTACTTGTTCGTTACATATTCATGATTAAATTTTACAGTTTATCTACCCATCTATCTCTCTTTCCATCTCTCTCTGTATCTCTCTTCATCTCTCTATCTCTCTCTCCCTCTCTATCTATCTCTACATATCTCTCGCTCTCTTGCTCTCTCTCTCTTCTCTCTCTCTCTCTCTCTCTCTCTCTCTCTCTCTCTCTTCTCCTCTCTCCTCTCTCTCTCCTCTCTCTCTCTCTCTCTCTCTCTCTTCTCTCTCTCTCTCTCTCTCTCTCTCTCTCTCTCTCTCTCTCTCTCACTCTCTCTCTCTCCTCTCTTCTATCTCTCTCTCTCTCTCTCTCTCTCTCTCTCTATCTCTCTCTCTCTCTCTCTCTCTCTCTCTCTCTCTCTCTCTCTCTCTCTCTCTCTCTCTCTCTCTCCCTCTCTCTCCCTCTCTCGTCTCGCTCTTCTCGTTTCTCTCTCTCTCTCTCTCTCTCTCTCTTCTCTCTCTCTCTCTCTCTCTCTCTCTCTCTCTCTCTCTCTCTCTCTCTCTCTCTCTCTCTCTCTCTCTCTCTCTCTCTCTCTCTCTCTCTCTCTCTCTCTCTCTCTCTCTCTCTTCTCTCTCTCTCTCTCTCTCCTCTCTCTCTCTCTCTCTCTCTCTCTCTCTCTCTCTCTCTCTCTCTCTCCTCTCTCTCTCTCTCAGTTTCAAAATTAGAACTGTTTTTGAAGAACTAGAAAGTGTGTTGTGTCGGGGTTCCGAAATTCCAAAACTCTCTCGCTCTCTCTCTCTCTCTGTCACAATAAGACATTGTTGTTCATGCCTTGGTGTTAACCCTGTCCAGAACTTAATGAATGCGAAAAGCGGAATTTTGCATGCAGCAGTGATGCTCACTGTACTAATCAGACTGGGACATTCTCATGTGTTTGCAAGCCTGGATTTACTGGAGATGGATTTTCTTGTACAGGTACGTTCTTTCCACACATGCCCTGGCCACGTCTTCAGTCCCAACTTTTGTCTTTTTTTATATTGAATTTGGCAGGCGGCTCATATTGTTTGGGAAATGAGGAATGCACCGGAAATGACATATACCCAAGATGACTGCCTGCAGTGCACCGGTGATCATTTACGCATTATCAAATTCGCTGCGCAGGCCCAAATTGCAATTTCACGACATATTTTACCTTCAAATTATCATAACTTCACCATTGGCCGATTCCATGATCTTGCGCTTCTTGGAAAGGTCCGTCAGCGACGAATGCACAGAGCCCACATTCGACATCTATAATGCCACAAGTTGAGAGCCCCCACTTGCCAAACTTGCCCCAGCGCCAGATCTGCGGGCAGAATCCAAATTGTCTCGCCATTTCACTCTCTCCCATCGCTGGACTTTGAATTTTTGTGTACAGAACATGTCATGCAAAAAAGAAAAATCTGACTTTGAAATGTTCTTGAGCGCAGAAAAATTGCAATTGCCGTGATTTTACTTTCGGCGGACGATATCGTTGCAAGGGAGTGTCGTAGCTCTTCGGCGATTGTTCGAGATGGTGTTTTCTATTAAATGGCGATGGACCCTTCGATCGTGAAATTTGGTCAAGAAATGACTGAGATATGATGGATTTACTGATCGAAGGATAGTCGTAGATATTTGGCTATAAGGAACCTGAAGGACCTCCTGAGGTGCCCCTGGTAGAAGCGCAGCCTGGTGAGGGCCAGAATATTGGAGCGGACGACTTCACTGGTCGACAATCAAATAAAGATTGGTGTTTCTGCCAAAAATGTGGGGTGATGTAGAGGGCAGTCGATTACCTTCACTGTCGAGAGAGCGCTGCAGCTGTTAGCATTGGCAGCCCTTTGACATACGTTACACATCACCCCGACTTCGCGTCGGCTTGTCTTAACAAAACTGTTCTGGCCATATGCCTCACGGCGTATAGAGAATTTCGAGATCCTCGAACTCGGACCAGTGAAGTCGTCCGCTCCAATCTCCTGCCGCTGTATAGTGTTTGCTAATTGAGGACGTAGCTCGCTGTTTTATCAGCGCTTGCAATTGGGCTATTTTCAAGACGATCATTTGTGGCGTCAAGGGATGATTGCCCTCGTCTTCTGGGATGCTGGCGTGGCTAAATGGTGCTGCCCCAAGAAGTCTTCTAGGGTGAGGTAATGTTGGCTTGATGAAGTTTTGTTCGTAGCTTGTTTTTGTACGCTGTGCCGTGGCTCGTTTGTAGACCCATAAATCGTGCCAATATTGGGCCAATATTTAAGGGTATGCAAATTTCATGGTTCCCTTCAAAAGGTTTTGCGCGGGCTTTGGAATGTCGATCTATACCCCAAAGCAAACCTACCTGCAAAATTTGAGCGAAATCTGAGAGGCCTACTTGCACATATGTTCTGGTTTTCTCAGACATGCTCTCTTAAGTCACACAAGTCATATATGTGTGTGCACATTTGCAGGTGGGGTTGGAAGTAGTGTTGATTTTACACTATTACAGCGACCTCACCCGGAGTCCCGAGCTGCTGAGAATGCAACCCAAATCGCGAAATCGTGGTCATGTGGCAGGTTTGAGGACTTCCTGGACGAGGCAAGATGTATTCAAGCACACCTACCCGCTGGAAACCGTCGCCAGAAACTGCCTGCTACAGTGAATGATACAACCTTCAGTCGACAAGTATTCGCAGGGAAGATTAACTCTGCAGCGAGGATCGTGGGTGATGACTCACCTGGCTCAGTACTCGGGATGGAGGACTCGGCTGGTGGTGACAAGACTGTGCGTGAGGTATTGTATGACAAGCACCCGTCTTCTTCACTGGCGGTTCCTGGCTGATGGGTGGTGCCAGCCGACTCACAGCGGGTGAACCCAATACTCTTCGAGCGCATCACGCCAAGCCTCATCAAGTTTGTTAGCAGGTCCATGAAGGGCGACGCTGAAAGATGATGCCGAGGTGACGATGTTGTGTTACTGTTACTAGTAGGGTTTGGCCAAGTTTTATTTCGGGTAGTCGTTGTGGGGGTCGCTTAGCAAGGTAGAACGGGAGGATGACGGTTTTTTGTAGCTTCTTTGTAGCGTTGTTGTTAATGTTGTTTGAATTTTGAATTCTTTATTCTCACGATGGCACCATCGCCAATAAGAGATAAATTGATGAGAAGGTGAGATTGTGGGTTAAACAGTTGGAAAGTGATTTACATCACTTTGAACTTTACAAGTATGGGAGAGGGTGAGCGCTGCAGGAGCAGATTGAGTTAATCAGCAGTGAGCAGATTTCTTGTTTGAAAGCAGGTCGGGAGGAGATGTCACAAATGCTAGCAGGGAGGGCATTGTAGTATTCTAGGGACTTGTACAGTGGGGAGTCTTTACAGCGATCGGTTCTGGAGGGTGGGAGGTGCCAAGTGCGTGCGTGTCGAAGGCTGTACTGGGCCGTAACTTGAGCGGGGGTGTTGAGCAAGCGTATGTGTTGTGGGGCATATTGGTATTTTATGGAGTGAGCAAGAAGGGTGAGCTTCACTTCGCGGCGAGAGAACATTGTCGGCCATTTGAGCCGATGGAGCAGTGTTGAATGATCCATTGTTTCAAATCTTTATTCTCACGATAGCCAGTGGCCAATAAGAGATAATAGTGTAAGAAAGGAGAAAGAGTGAGGAAGAATTGGGTGGGCAGGGCCTAGGGGTTAATGACTACTTAAGTGTACGGGCAGGGGTGGTCGCCACACGAGCATACAGAGTTGCATACTTAAGTGTACGGGCAGGGGTGGTCGCTACACGAGCATACAGAGTTGTGCAACAGCAGGGATATCTGGGATTTGAAGGGAGTACGAGAAGGGATTTCGCGAAGCTGGGTGGGCAGGCAATTAAAGTAATGAAGGGCCTTGTACAGGGGAGAATGGAGACAGCGGTCAGTCCGCGGAGTTGGCAAGTCCCAAGTACGAGAGCGATGTAAATTATACGAAGGTTGCACGTTGCTAGCAGTATGCAGCGAGAGTATATGTGGTGGGGCATAATCGTGGCGCAGAGAATGCGCGAAGAGTATATGTTTAACTTTAAAGCGTGAAAATAATGTTGGCCATTTGATGCGATGCAAAAGGTGGGAGTGTTCTAAGTGTGTGTAAAGGGGAAGGTGGAGACATATTCTGGCGGCTTTCCGCTGGAGTCGTTCTAGCCTGTCAAGGGAAGTGTGGGACAACGGTGTGAGAGCAGTGCTCGCATATGAGAATATAGGTAGTATGTATGTCTGATAGATGTGAGATAAAGAATCACTGGTGAGTGTAGACCTTAGTCTAAAAAGAATATTGAAAGACTTGAGTGATTTTTTGACTATGTATTCAACATGCTCCGTCCAACGGAGGTCATGCTGAAAGATTATTCCGAGGTGTTTGTTTTTTTGTGCTACGGTAAGCGGACTATTCCTGAGGGTGATCTGGGGTAGCTGTTCAGGGGGGCGGTTATTGTGGTAGAACGGGAGGACGACTGTTTTCTTTGTGTTAACCAGCAGGTGCCATCTTTGAAGCCAGTCTCCAGCTGCTGTGACACTCTGTTGTAGGTTTCGGGTGCAGTCTTGAAGAGTTCTCGCTATGGAAATCAGAGCGGTGTCATCTGCAAACTGGCTACAGGTGGTGCTGGGATTCTCACATGCGTGTGGAAGGTCTATGGTGTAGACGAGGAATAGAAGCGGCCCAAGAACAGATCCCTGAGGGACACCGGCAGGGATCTCGAGGAAAGGCGATAGGTCGCCATCCACCTGGACCCTTTGCCGACGCCCCAACAGGTACCGTCGGAACCACTCCAGGACGTTGCCCTGGACACCATAGTGGGAGAGTTTTGCTAGAAGGCCTGCATGCCACACACCATCGAAGGCCTTGCTTAGATCGAAAAAGCAGGCATTGACGTGTTTTCCGTCGTCTCTCGCAGTGGAGAGGGTATGGACGAGACGGGCGAGCTGCTGCTCAGTGCCGTCTTTCTCGCGGAATCCGGACTGCTGGTTGGGCAGGTGGGGTGTGATGTGCTTGTAGAGGAGTTGATGTGCAATTTTTCCTTGGATTTTTGATGTAGTGCTCAAGAGAGAGATGGGTCTATAATTTGTTGGTTGGGTTGGGTCACCCGGCTTGGGTACTGGAGTAATGGTGGCATCTTTCCACTCCTGTGGGATTTCTCCATTTTGGAACGATAGATTAAAGAGGGACGATAACGACGGTGCAAGTTCCTTAGCCGCTTTTTTGAGTAGGCGGTTTGGAATAGAGTCAAACCCGGGGCTTTTGTTGGTATCAACTCCGCGGAGGAGTTTTTCGACCTCAGCTTGGGAAGTCGAGATTTCTTGAAGGGGACTGAGGATGTCAGGGGTGGTGTTGATGGCTGGAGTTTGCTCATCCGCAGTGGCCATGGACAGCTTGCTCAGGGAAATGAAGAATTCGTTGAGGGCAGCGGCTTTTTGTGCTGGTGTCGTTGCAGGAGTTGCTTGGCTGACGAGTTCGGGTATGCGTTGTTTTGTAGTTGTAGTTAGGTGCTTCATGAGGCGGTGTAGGGAAGTAGAGGAGGCTGTTGAGTTGTTTACGAAATCCAATTTAGCACGACGCAGGAGGGTGGTGACACGGTTTCTTTGGGCAGTGAACGTGTTCCAGTCGTCAGGCGAGCGGGAGTGAAGGTATATTCTGTGTTTTCTGTGCTTATCCTTGATCTCTTTTAAGAGGCCCTCTGATATCCATGGTCGTGCTGGCACGTTCTTCCTGTCCCAAGGGGGGTGAGTGTGAGTAACTTGGCAGTGTTCTTGGGCGATGCTCAGGACATTGTCGCGCCAGGATCGCCAGAAGGTGTCAACTGGGCATGGGTCGTGTTGGTTTGGATGGTGGTTCAGATTTGTGCGTGAAAGGGCTTCTCGAAGAAGGTGGATAGTGCTGTCTGTCCATGACCAGAAAGTGGTGCTTTTGGATCGTGGAGGGGAGTTGTTAATTATGGGGGGCAGTTGATTATTGATGTGGCCACTGATAGTAGTGTGATCGGATGCGCCAAACGGTGGAAGTGATTGGATATGAATATCATTGGTGTGGGGTGAGGAGATAACAAGGTCTAGACATGAGAGAGGTGTTTGTCGGTTGATGTAAGTAGGGAATCTGACATGTTGTGTGAGGCCGTATGTGTGTAGCAGAGTTTGTATGTCGTTGTGTTGTTGTTGTTGTTGTGGTTTCAAATCTTTATTCTCACGATAGCCAGTGGCCAATAAGAGATAATAGTGTGAGAAAGGAGAAACAGTGAGGAAGAATTGGGTGGGCAGGGCCTAGGGGTTAATGACTACTTAAGTGTACGGGCAGGGGTGGTCGCCACACGAGCATACAGAGTTGCGTACTTTTACGGCAGGGTGGTCGCTACACGAGCATACAGAGTTGTGCAACAGCAGGGATATCTCGGATTTGAAGGGAGTACGAGAAGGGATTTCGCGTTGTTGTTGTTGTTGTTGTTGTTTCAAATCTTTATTCTTACGATAGCCAGTGGCCAATAAGAGATAATAGTGTAAGAAAGGAGAAAGGGTGGGGAAGAATTGGGTGGGCAGGGCTTGAGTGTTAATGACTACTTTAGTGTACGGGCAGGGGTGGTCGCCACACGAGCATACATACAGAGATGTGTACTTGTTGTTGTTGTTGTTGTTGTCGTCGTCGTCGTCGTCGTCCGCCGCCGCCGCCGCCGCCGCCGCCGTTGTTGTTGTTGTTGTTGTTGTTGTTGTTGTTGTTGTTGTTGTTGTTGTTGTTGTTGTTGTTGTTGTTGCAATTTCAAATTTGGACTTCAAGGAGAATTTCAAAGTTTTTAGGAAATTAGAGGCCACATGCCACCTACTGCTCTTTTGTCTCCGAAACTCAACACTTACAAGCCAGATATGAAAGAAAGAAAAAATCATCAGTCACACCACCGGGACTCGAACCAGGGACCTTGCTATTCGCGAGCAATGCTCTAACCAACTGAGCTACAGTATGACTCTTATCCACAGTGATGGTAAATCTATCATTCTTCGATCAATTCATATCTGGCTTGCTTCATGATCCATAGTTCCTGTGCCATGCTCGCTTCGTATCCTGGCGTGGTCGCCAAATGTTGTGAACCCTCTGGTTCTCTAAAGTGTCAGGAACGAACGACCCCACACGGCACGAGGACAACTATTTATTCTCAACAGTATATTTCACTTCCATCGACTAATAACAATGAACAATGAATGACTGAATGAACAACTGAACAACTAACACTAAAACCACCAGGTAGTTATAGCGTGAAAATGACAGCGTATATGAGAAAAGGATACACATACAACATACAACTACAGCGCACACAGCAAACCGCACATAGCGCATGTAGCGTATACTACGTCGTAATCATCAGCTGTACGGCGAAGTCGGGATACAACTGCATTGGAAAGAACACAATGTCACAAGCGAGAAGGCCTTTCACTCTCGAGAACTTGTGGTTTCACAACATATGCAGTGTATAGTATGCAGTGTATAGTATGCAGTGTACAGTACGCAGTGTATAGTATGCAGTGTATAGTATGCAGTGTATAGTATGCAGTGTATAGTATGCAGTGTATACCGTACTGGTAATACAATGTTGCCGCAGTGAGGCCATGAAGCGTTACATTGGCACATGTTTGCCGCACGCAGGGCGTTACATGCAAAGTCGCACAGGAGCCGTTACACAGTTTTCTATATTGCCGCAGTCCTTTTTTTGCTATTGCCGCATCACTTTTTTTGCTATTGCCGCATCATTTTTTTGCTTTTGCCGCATCATTTTTTCTTTTCATCCACATTGAAGGCACAGAAATTCAGTTGCTATCCAACTGTTACAAACCCGACGGCAAAGGGCGACAACGATATCAATAGAAGACTGCATATTTTAACCATCAGAGTGATCTGTTCACAAAAAGATCATCAAAAGGAAAGTGACATAGGGGAAGAGCGCTTCCTCTAAAAACTACTTTTCACCACGCGGTACACGTGCTTTCACAGTTTTCAGCCTTTTTTTGCAGTGCAAACTGCAGTGAAAAGATCGCCGCACCCCGCCGGACGCGCGTTACGAACTCAACGAAAATGTGTCGCACTAGCCTGGTCGCGCGTTACACCGCACCCCCCCCCCCTGCGTTACGCGTTACGCGGCAACATATATTGCCAGTACGGTAGTATGCAGTGTATAGTATGCGGTGTACAGTATGCAGTGTACAGTATGCAGTGTATAGTATGCAGTGTATAGTATGCAGTATACTGTACACTGCTGCTACGCTTCACCGTGGGAATGCTTATAATAATAATTATTATTAGGGCTGAAACGATCGTGGATTTCCCCTATCGACTACTTTTAGCTTAGCTTAACGATGGATTAATCGTTTATAATCGTTAGCAAAACAATAGTGTCAGAATTTTGTGGAAAAATACTCTGTTTCCAAAACCTAGGCTTTCATAATACCACAAATTTGCATTAGTGACAGGGTAGCTCTTAAACATGGCAGTTATAAATTCAATTTAACCTCAGAATATGCACCATGAACCTGGCAACTGCATGCTCACAGTGGAAACTGATTCAAACTTCACAAAAACGAGGGTTTTCAGTACTTTTTGACTGAAAATCCCTAACGTGTAATCTATAACGTAACGATTACTTGATTGATAAGGAATTATCGATCGCGTAACGAGTAATTGCAAGGATGAATTTATCCTGTATCGCATCGCAGTTTGCGATGCAAAATCAATCTAATGCTATTCAAAAGTCACCATGACTCGCAGAAAACTGCGTTACATACAGACTATCCATGCCTAGCCTGCGCTGTCAAGTAACACGCATGCAGTTCAGTGTATGTGCTCCAGGCACTCAATCTGCGTGCACATTATGATTCAGTCGAGTTTTTTTGCAAATGGGCTTTCTGGCATCACTCTCAAGAAGGACAATGTGGTAAACACCCAACCTTCAAAGAAATTGCTAATCAAAAGATGCAAAATCAAAGAGTCCTACACAATTGTGATTTTGTATAGCAGAAACTACTATGCAAAAAATTAATATGATAATAAATTTATCCCTGAATTGGTATAATCGTTTCAGCCCTAATGACCCATACCTTCCAGCTGCTATGTGCAACAATTGTTCGTGTGTTATCTGGCCTGCAGATCTGAAGACACCTGGCAGACTGAACTCGACGAACTTGGTGGCTGCCATTGCCGGATCTATCGCTGCCGCTGTAATTGTACTTATTGTGGTGGCCTTCGTAGTACTGCGACGTCGCTCGCGGAGATCTGGCAACGCGGAGTGGAGAAAGCCATTAGCGCCGCTCACGGGAATGCTCAGCACGTCCATGCTCCTAAGGTCCAGAATGTCTCCCGTGCAGAGCGAGCGACCGCGCGCAACGTCCGACACTAGAACCATCGTACAGCGGCCGCCGTGTCAGGAGGCAGCCTGCTCCCTGACCAGCGAATACACCAGCGGATACGTCAGCAAAAACGCCTGGGACCGGGGACCATCGTGCGGCGATGATGAGTCCAGCTCCGAGACCAGCAGGTACGCCAGCAAAGCCGCCCAAGAAAAGAAATCATGCGAGGAGGAGGAGAACTTCGACGAGACCAACAGATACGCCAGCCCTAAACTGATTAGAAAAGAATACTCGTGTTAGAGTTCCATGTTACTTGCAGAATGTACGTAGAGAGTAGACAAAAATGATTTCACCCCCCCACCCCCCACACACACTCAAACAAGCAGATGCACTCCCTCGGCCCGTGTATGCACATGCTTGTTGGCCGCGCCATTGCATTCACTTGAACACCATGCATGACGTCACGCAAGCGCCTACTTACTAGTACTGGTCATCAGTAGCTAGTGGCCAGTGAGTTTGGCTGAATACTGTCCAGACCTGCAGCTCTGCTTTGCTCTGATAATGTGTATGCCGAGTTGACCTCTGCTGATGGCCTTCTACCTACCAAAATGATCTATCATAATAATAGCAAGCCATAACCATTTTTATTTATTTATGTACCCTTGATAAGTATGAGAAGTCTCCGTCTTTTTTAAATCCATTTAGTGTTGCAGCTCTGTTTTAGTCTGATACGTTGTATGCCTACGGTCTCTGCCTGTGACTCTCTACACATATTGTCCCATAAGGTAATGATGTAATGATAGAGAAAAGAGTATCCTCCGTCTGTCTTAAGGGCAGCCCGATGTAGGGGCGTGAGCCCGCCTTTCGGCACCGGGACTGTCTCAAAGTGCACCACTAGGGGTGCTGGCAAGCAGGGAGTGTTACCAAGAGTACTTACCCCCCCCCGGGTTATGTACTCTTGATAGTACAATAGAGAGGTTCCGGGGTACGATTTTCCGTGCCAAAATCCGTATTGGCGCTACGGATTTTTTTCCAGACGCTCCACTCGATTTTTCGGCACGGAAAATCCGTGTGGACTGGCTTTCATACGAACCATGGTTCGTATGGAGATTTTGCGTCATCGGGTGCAGAAAGATTTTTCGCGGACAAATTTGGTACGAGAAACATCGATTTTCCGCGGGAAGTTTTGATTTCGGTACAAATTTTCAAAATATAAAGGCATAGCGCGGGAATGTGACTTGTTTATTATTATTATTATTATTATTTTTTGAAACTCGGATGTTGAGCCAAAAATAAATGAAGAAGAGAAAAGAAAAGGACATATGGATACGAGTTAAGAGTAACTATCCATCACTGTAACATGATACTATATACAGTCAGAAAGTGCAATAACTAGGCACAATACTGACAGAGTACTGAAACATTCGAGGTCCTGACACCTAGCTTCAACACATCTCCGTAGCGCTAACCGACAGCCTTCCAACTTGGAAGGTTCAAGGTTATGGAAAGACCAAAGAGGGGAAGGCAAGCGCAACGAAAACGAGCAAAAGCTACAGTCCCAACGGACACAAAGAACGTCGATTGTTACTGGACGATGACGAAACCAGTACGATATTTGACAAAGCGGTCTAACTACAATTCGAAGCAGCAAAGCAGCACACCACCCAGCTTGGGTGGGTCATAAATATCAAAGATAAGTAAAGAAAGGGAAGCTTTGCGAAAACGAATTGTACGAGCCGAAAGCCAAACTCCTACAGTACTCCTCATGCATGACATTGTGATGGACTAGTTGACCACAAAACAAGTTGTTTCACACGACATACGTTTCGCCGTATGGTTTGTGACGGCTCATCAGGTGTGCAATTTGAAACTCGGATGTTGAGCCATAAATAAATGTAGTAGAGAAAAGAAGAGGACATATGGATACGAGTTAAGAGTAACTATCCATTACTGTAACATGATACTATATACAGTCAGAAAGTGCAATAACTAGGCACAATACTGACAGAGTACTGAAACATTCGAGGTCCTGACACCTAGCTTGTTTTGTAGTCAACTAGTCCATTAAAATGTCATGCATGAGGAGTACTGTAGGAGTTTGGCTTTCGGCTTGTGCAATTCGTTTTCGCAAAGCTTCCCTTTCTTTACTTATCTTTGATATTTATGACCCACCCAAGCTGGGTGGTGTGCTGCTTTGCTGCTTCGAATTGTAGTTAGACCGCTTTGTCAAATATCATACTGGTCTCGTCATCGTCCAGTAACAATCGACATTCTTTGTGTCCGTTGGGACTGTAGCTTTTGCTCGTTTTCGTTGCGCTTGCCTTCCCCTCTTTGGTCTTTCCATAACCTTGAACCTTCCAAGTTGGAAGGCTGCCGGTTAGCGCTACGGAGATGTGTCGAAGCTAGGTGTCAGGACGTCGAATGTTTCAGTACTCTGTCAGTATTGTGCCTAGTTATTGCACTTTCTGACTGTATATAGTATCATGTTACAGTGATGGATAGTTACTCTTAACTCGTATCCATATGTCCTTTTCTTTTCTCTTCTACATTTATTTATGGCTCAACATCCGAGTTTCAAATTGCACACCTGATGAGCCGTCGCAAACCATACGGCGAAACGTATGTCGTGTGAAACAACTTGTTTTGTAGTCAACTAGTCCATCACAATGTCATGCATGAGGAGTACTGTAGGAGTTTGGCTTTCGGCTTGTACAATTCGTTTTCGCAAAGCTTCCCTTTCTTTACTTATCTTTGATATTTATGACCCACCCAAGCTGGGTGGTGTGCTGCTTTGCTGCTTCGAATTGAAGTTAGACCGCTTTGTCAAATATCGTACTGGTCTCGTCATCGTCCAGTAACAATCGACATTCTTTGTGTCCGGTGGGACTGTAGCTTTTGCTCGTTTTCGGTGCGCTTTCCTTCCCCTCTTTGGTCTTTCCATAACCTTGAACCTTCCAAGTTGAAAGGCTGTCGGTTAGCGCTACGGAGATGTGTTGAAGCTAGGTGTCAGGACCTCGAATGTTTCAGTACTCTGTCAGTATTGTGCCTAGTTATTGCACTGGCAGGCACAGTGGGTTGGTCAAAGACCATGATTGAGATACGAGAGGTACCTGGTTCAAGTCCTGCCTGGGAGCGGTTTTTCCAGCCGTGCTGCTACCCACAGTCAACTGGGAACTTGTGGCCAGGCACAAGGGGTACATGGATGCAGCTAATGGGGTCGCTTTCGGCAATTGTGCCAGTGGTTGTGAGACTTACCCACTCACCCCCACCGTTAGGCGCTGCATCTGCCGCTAGGGTTTATCGGGTGTTAGCGGCCGTCGTGAGTTCCCTTCGGGAACGGATACGATAATTTACTTTTTACTTTTTATTGCAATTTCTGACTGTATATAGTATCATGTTACAGTGATGGATAGTTACTCTTAACTCGTATCCATATGTCCTTTTCTTTTCTCTTCTACATTTATTTATGGCTCATAATCCGAGTTTCAAATTGCACACCTGATGAGCCGTCGCAAACCATACGGCGAAACGTATGTCGTGTGAAACAACTTGTTTTGTAGTCAACTAGTCCATCACAATGTCATGCATGAGGAGTACTGTAGGAGTTTGGCTTTCGGCTTGTACAATTCGTTTTCGCAAAGCTTCCCTTTCTTTACTTATCTTTGATATTTATGACCCACCCAAGCTGGGTGGTGTGCTGCTTTGCTGCTTCGAATTGTAGTTAGACCGCTTTGTCAAATATCGTACTGGTCTCGTCATCGTCCAGTAACAATCGACATTCTTTGTGTCCGTTGGGACTGTAGCTTTTGCTCGTTTTCGTTGCGCTTGCCTTCCCCTCTTTGATCTTTCCATAACCTTGAACCTTCCAAGTTGGAAGGCTGCCGGTTAGCGCTACGGAGATGTGTCGAAGCTAGGTGTCAGGACGTCGAATGTTTCAGTAATCTGTCAGTATTGTGCCTAGTTATTGCACTTTCTGACTGTATATAGTATCATGTTACAGTGATGGATAGTTACTCTTAACTCGTATCCATATGTCCTTTTCTTTTCTCTTCTACATTTATTTATGGCTCAACATCCGAGTTTCAAATTGCACACCTGATGAGCCGTCGCAAACCATACGGCGAAACGTATGTCGTGTGAAACAACTTGTTTTGTAGTCAACTAGTCCATCACAATGTCATGCATGAGGAGTACTGTAGGAGTTTGGCTTTCGGCTTGTACAATTCGTTTTCGCAAAGCTTCCCTTTCTTTACTTATCTTTGATATTTATGACCCACCCAAGCTGGGTGGTGTGCTGCTTTGCTGGTTCGAATTGAAGTTAGACCGCTTTGTCAAATATCGTACTGGTCTCGTCATCGTCCAGTAACAATCGACATTCTTTGTGTCCGTTGGGACTGTAGCTTTTGCTCGTTTTCGTTGCGCTTTCCTTCCCCTCTTTGGTCTTTCCATAACCTTGAACCTTCCAAGTTGAAAGGCTGTCGGTTAGCGCTACGGAGATGTGTTGAAGCTAGGTGTCAGGACCTCGAATGTTTCAGTACTCTGTCAGTATTGTGCCTAGTTATTGCACTGGCAGGCACAGTGGGTTGGTCAAAGACCATGATTGAGATACGAGAGGTACCTGGTTCAAGTCCTGCCTGGGAGCGGTTTTTCCAGCCGTGCTGCTACCCACAGTCAACTGGGAACTTGTGGCCAGGCACAAGGGGTACATGGATGCAGCTAATGGGGTCGCTTTCGGCAATTGTGCCAGTGGTTGTGAGACTTACCCACTCACCCCCACCGTTAGGCGCTGCATCTGCCGCTAGGGTTTATCGGGTGTTAGCGGCCGTCGTGAGTTCCCTTCGGGAACGGATACGATAATTTACTTTTTACTTTTTATTGCACTTTCTGACTGTATATAGTATCATGTTACAGTGATGGATAGTTACTCTTAACTCGTATCCATATGTCCTTTTCTTTTCTCTTCTACATTTATTTATGGCTCATAATCCGAGTTTCAAATTGCACACCTGATGAGCCGTCGCAAACCATACGGCGAAACGTATGTCGTGTGAAACAATTTGTTTTGTAGTCAACTAGTCCATCACAATGTCATGCATGAGGAGTACTGTAGGAGTTTGGCTTTCGGCTTGTACAATTCGTTTTCGCAAAGCTTCCCTTTCTTTACTTATCTTTGATATTTATGACCCACCCAAGCTGGGTGGTGTGCTGCTTTGCTGCTTCGAATTGTAGTTAGACCGCTTTGTCAAATATCGTACTGGTCTCGTCATCGTCCAGTAACAATCGACATTCTTTGTGTCCGTTGGGACTGTAGCTTTTGCTCGTTTTCGTTGCGCTTGCCTTCCCCTCTTTGGTCTTTCCATAACCTTGAACCTTCCAAGTTGGAAGGCTGTCGGTTAGCGCTACGGAGATGTGTTGAAGCTAGGTGTCAGGACCTCGAATGTTTCAGTACTCTGTCAGTATTGTGCCTAGTTATTGCACTTTCTGACTGTATATAGTATCATGTTACGGTGATGGATATTTACTCTTAACTCGTATCCATATGTCCTTTTCTTTTCTCTTCTACCATTATTATTATTATTATTATTTGGAAAGGATTGGGAGAACTTCATATTCAAAGGATCAGTCGGGGAAGTGAACTGCCTGAAAAGAGAAAAAAAAAACAAAAACAAAAAAAACGCCAGACCCACCAGGATGTCCTGGTGGGTCTGGCGTTTTTTTCTCTTTTCAGGCA